AATATCTCTAAGTGAATGTATGCCTTTTGGCGATTGCTAAAGAATGAGAGAGCGGATGAATAGCTGCAAATGTAATTAGAAATACTAAAATAATTTAAAAAATTTTGATTAGTGATAATAAATATATACGTACATAAGAATGATGCAATAAACTACTTAACTAATATTAACAATAAAATAAAATGAAATAATGAAGAATAATGAATCTTTTTATTATACTCCATTCTGATATCAAAGAAACTAAAAATATTAACGCTAATTAAGCATAGATTAATTTATTTCTAAACCATAACTTGATTAATGAGATATATGTGGAGATTTCGTGTTTTTTTTTTTTTTGCATAAGGAAGGGCATACCATGCACTGCCTTTTAGAAGGTCCATTGTACTAACCAAAGTTGCTTTAAGTGTAAAAGATTTTAAAGATTTTCGTTAGCTATTTTAAAGTTTTTATTTTATTTTATATACTGTATGGAACAATTAATCTGTCCCCAAAATGTGCAAGTTTGCTGTGTTCAGTTTTCAGCATTTACCAGAAACGTGTTCAAATGTGGCAATCCATCTAAAAATATCTATCCTTGAGAGATTGATATAGCTTAATTGTTGAGGGAAGCTTGTCATTTTCAGATTATAATGAATGTGGCTGTAGTGCCTATCAGTGATTTAAAGGAAGCTGTCAGAGAAGATTGAGATTTGGGATCTGGTTACAAAGGGCCCATGAGTTTAGAAATAAAGTTTTAAAAAATTGTAGATGTTCGATCTTTTAGTAAATTTGGGTCAGTTGGTTCAAATTTGGATGAATACGAATTTGAATCGTGGTACTTGCAGTCTCAAAAAATTATTTACGAAGCATTAAATACAAGAATTATTTCCAAGACCATTGATGATGAGTATTTGGCAATACTCAAAACATTTGTATTTGTATGGTCAGCCAAAAATTCAATTAATTAAAATAATATAAAATTAATATTTGCTGTTGTAGTTCACTACTGTTCGAAACAAACTCCTTTAAAAAATTATATTACTATAAATGGTTTTAAAAGGTAAGAGAACTATCGATAGACTGACATCTATAAACTAATTAGAGTTATTGAAATAGAAAGAAATTTAGATTTCTTATTTAGAGTTCGACAGAGATTTCGAAAAAGTCAACATCTGTTAGAAGATTTAATATGCTCATAAGTTTGCTCTAGTTGTAACTCTGAGGAAAATGAAAGGTTAAGTAGATTACTTAGATCATAGTACCTTTTACCTTAAATTTCACTTAAGAGAAACGTTTTCAAATAATATCATTGAGATATCGTTATATCTCACTTAAAATGATCTAAGTATAATGATTTTCTATATTTCGATTTTGGATGAAATTCGGCCTTTGTAAACTGTGCGGTGTATGCGAAGGATTTAATAGGTTGTATTAGTTTCATTATCTCTGTATAATATATAATATAAAATTTCATTTTACATCACAGTAACTCCTTTCTCAATGCAACTTCTCATAAATAAATAATGGCGTGTATTATAAAAATTTGTAGATTTCACTTTAATTGCTTTTATAACATTTTGTGATTTGAGTGCAGCGTAATTATAATTTAGAAGATCGTAAGTTTATGTAACATTTGCATTAAATATTTAGTTTGACATGGCAGCCACTTCGGTGTAATGGGCTTATCATGAATCTAACAACATAAAAACTGGAAAGCAAATAAAACTGACTTTTATCTAAATAATTTTTGGCATACGTTCTCATTACTAGAGAGGCGAAATGGCAATGCTTAGTGGCAAATGCAGAGTCGGGCTTAATGCCTCTGCGGCTGTGTTGCTTCTGCTGTTGCTGTTGTTATGCTGTTAATTTTATTTAGATAAAGCAAAGAATGGTCGGCTGGTTTGCTGCACAGCGCAGCGCAAAGCAGCCGGCAACATGCAAACCGAACATCGATCATCTTTTTTAAGCCAAGCTACATAAAATGGATGACAGCGACGGTACAGCACAGCGGTAGCAGCATCGATACTTTCAGCATAGAAAAGTGAAATGTTGCCTGGCAAAATGTTAGTCGGTTGGATCGTTTGGCGCATTTAGATTGTTTGTTTGGCATTAGAATTAAGTTGTAATGGCATTGATTACATTTTTGTTAAATTAAAAAATATAAATAAATAAATGAATAACAGAAAGAAAGATGAAAAGACTACGGACGTATATATTCTACAAAAGAGAGGAGGAAGAAAAAAAAATTCAATACAAATGTGAAAGTTGTCTTCTTCTCATATTGTCTTTTTACTTGATAGATTTTGTAGTAATTTCTAGAGGGAAGTCAGTCTTCGCACGCATAAATGTAATTTGAATATTAAAATGGATTAACAATTTTCAAATTACATACTGGTTGAGGATGCTGCAAGCCAGAATTTCATTATTCAATATTTGTTAAGTGACACAAATCGTTTTCAAGATGCATTCACAAGCTGAATTAATATATTTTGAAACCCAGAAAAGACTTTTAATTTTAAAAAGAATTTTTACTGACTACACTTAACTTAAATCTGAAATGAATGTTCTTACAAGTTTGCCTGGCGTCTAATGCAGCTATTTGATGGCTGATAGTTGGCTATAAACTATGAATGTTCTTTCTTCATTTGGTGTTTAGTGTTTGGACTTTCAAGTTTTTTTTTGTTTTGGTTTGAGCTGTGCTGAAATTTAATTCCTGAAATCTACTTAAGCAAATTTATTTTTAGATTTAAGCTAACAAAATGAAAATACGCAACCGCACTTTCAGCCTTTCAGACTTAGAACGTTAACGGTTTATTGAATTCGTTATATGCGCGAGTTAATGTGTTTCTACATACAGTGAACGAATTATCTCGGAAACAAACTTGTTTTAATCAATTTGGGTTAATGTCTACAGAATGAATTGCCTTAAATCACTTCATCGAATTGAAATAAAATCTAAGCAAATTGAATTCAAATTGGGTTAGTTTTGCACTTACTTTGGCTAAAGAGTTAAACTTTTAAACGAATGAGAATTTAAGCTATTTGTACTAGTTTTACTTTTGATTCTTGGAAGTACGTCTCTACATATGCAGATGTGCAGATACATTAATTGCTACTGAGGAAAGCAATTACGACTTCTGAATACCAACTTTTATTTGATAATTAATTTTATAAGAATTTTATTGTTATTTTTATGATTTTAAGGTTACTATTTAAGTATATAAATGAGATTGTTAGGTAACCGACTCTTGTAGTCGAAGAACGGATGTATTCTTTCATTTGAATTGTTTTAAAACAAATTATGATAGTATTATTTTTTAGAAACAACCTTCACATTCCCATTGAAAAAAAAAATTTAATACTGTTTAAAAAATAATGATAAGTACATTTAGTTAATTCAAAATAACACAAAATTTTTGTTGTAACAATTCACTACCGTTCGATAAAAACCTCTCAATTGAAAACAATGATTTATATTAGTAATTTAGTCTCTTACGTCAAAATGTACGTTAGAAATTATTTTAATAAATGTGTATATTCAATTTAATTTTCTCAAAATAGTTGTGCTCAGTTTGACTATATATTGTGTTAAAATCTAATAGAATTTTGTAAAATTGAGTTCCAGTCTTTAAAATCCTCCTTTCCAAATAATTGCCGTAGTCGATATTCTTACCATAGAGTCTTTCAAATTCTCCTCTCCAATTGCTACCTTAGTTGATATTCCAACTATGCAATTCCAATCCTTTCCAAATAATTGCCTTAGTTGATATTCTTACTATAGTGACTTTTTAATTATCCTCTCTAATTGCTACCTCAGTTGATATTCCAACAATGCAGTTCCAATCCTTTTCAAATAATTACCTTAGTTGATATTCTTACTTCAGAGTTTTTTAAATTCTCTTTTTCAATTGCTACCTTAGTTAATATTCCAACTATGTAGTTTCAATCTTTAAAATCCTTCTTTCCAATTACCACTTAGGCCACTTAGGCCTAATGGTCCATTGTGTTACCGTGTATAGAAGACAGTCAGGGTTTAAAACCACCTAGAACTATTTACGAAGTTTATAATGCTGTTTACTGGGAGATTTTGTAATTGATTAAGATCCTTAAAAAAGGAGGCTCCAAAATTGTTGAGTTGCCGCATGAGCAAAGACGGAGTAGATGAGAGGCACTTTCATCGTCTTCCCTACAGCTGCGATAGGTATAATTGAAAGGGAGATTCAAAGTTCTAGCATGATATCCGAGTCTGCAGTGATCTGTAAGTAAACCTACCATATGACTGATATTTTTTGGGGTTGATATGTTACTTAAATAGAAACAGATTTTTGAAACAGATTGTTGTATTATTGTGATTAGTTTCGTAGAGTATTTTTTATGTTACATATATTTCTTATTTAACCTATATCAGTTTGTGATAGTTCTGTTTGTGATAGGTTATCAAGAAATAGTTTTCTCAGAATTGCAGCTCTGATCTTTGTCAAGGCTGGCTATAAGAGCATCGTTATTCATTCTCTTTCTCTCATCAGAAGTCAAACAATTTTTCAGTGAGAATTTCAAGACTCTTTATATGTCCGTCCATTAAGCAATGACTGGTTGGTTATGAAGAATATAATATTGGCGACTTTGGTTTCATTCAAATAACGTAGTTCTTCTTAGATATATTGCTAAGCAAATCCTCTTAGTGTGTTAAGTTTATAATTAAGTTAATAGGCTTGCAAAAAATATATGTTTTATGAACCATATAATTTAACACTTACGTGGGAAAATGTATGATTTGATGATGTTCGTTTGTCTGTCTCTGTGTTTATATATTTGAGTATATATTAGTTTATCATATACAAAATAGTTCTTCAGTTTTTGAGCTAATTGATTAAAAGTTTATAAGACTTAATTCTTTTTAATATGTTTAGTACAAGTATTTATTACAATAAAATCAAAAATTGTAAACAAAATATTCTCATTTTTTTTAAATTTTGTTTGTAATTAGTTAAACAGTAATTTTAATTTTTAATTCTATTATACACATTTAAATATGATTAAAAGATAAATAGTTATAAATCAGTTCGTTAGACTTCCGTCTCATCACCAGTTCTTAAGTTGCGAATCCAATTCATTGCTTTTCGTACAGCTTGTTGAATGCGCTTCCACGCAAATTTTGGGTGACGTAAAAAAAACAACGAAGATTGAGTACGCCTACGATTATCGAAACTGATGCCTGTAGTACCAGGTACAAACACTAACTCTCTTGATGAACAGGATGTGCTATTATCAACATCTACAACCGTTACAGGTTCTGTAACAGCGTCTAAATTGTGTGAAATGTTTAATAATTTATATAAACACAATCAATATATCATATATGTAATAATATGTATTGTTAGAAACTTTTTCTATAAGTTATTAATTTAAAAGCAATATTGTAATTAAATAAGGTCCATGCTTTATTGAAAGCTGCCAGGACTAAAAAGAAGTAAAGAGTATTATTTATTGTATCTCTCTTACCACTAGCTACTTCCGTAAATTCATTAGCAAACTCTGAAGCACATGAAGTACTAGCCGCATCATCCTCACCTATCGCCTCATTAATTATTGTCAGGATACTGTTACGGAATATTGATATTATAAAATTTCTAAAATATATTATATTTATAGCTCACATTTCCACAGGAGAAATTTCATGTTCTGGGCTTCTTTTATAAAAAAAATTGTGTTAAATAGAATTCAGTCTTTGAACTATTTTTAATGCTTACTTAGAAAGAGTTTCATTATTATTGTTTTCAACAATTAGTCCCAAATATGCGATTCTATCACTAATTTATATAATTTATTATACAATTATTTTATACAAAATAATTAAAATTAAACAGATGTAATCCATAATACGAACATATTTATAAAAAATACTTGTCGCTTACATTTCCATAGGATAGACCTTAACTAGGGACTCCCTTAAATAAAAAAAATTAATTAATTAAATTAAAATTAATGCAATCAGAAATTTTGTAGGCTTACAAAAGATTCATTTCTTCACATTTTGCAACTGCTGGACTTAGATTTGCATCCTCTTCGCTAGTTTATATTATTGTTTTATACAAAATTAATGATGTGAGTTAATTGTATATAAATTAAAGTAATGCAATTAAATGCTGTAAAATATATTTATTTTTAAAATATACTTGTAACTCACATTTCCACGGAATCGATTTCATACTGTATGTCACTTTTACAGAAGAAAATTAAATTAAATAGCTATATGCTTCTATAGAATTTTTTATGCTTACTCCAATATAGTTTCAATATAGTTTCCAATATCTTGTTCAGTATTTTTCTCTACATTTGCGACATTATCTCTAATATTTATAGTTTTTTAATATATAAATATATAAAATAATTGGGTGTAGAATAAATGAAAGCATTCATAACTAACATTTCTATACAATTGTTTTTGGCAAGATCTATTGCCAAATCTCGTGTGTTGCCTAAAGTTAAAACTAAATTTTTAAGATATTTTTATTCTTACCTAAGGTTATTTTGCTCCTCTTCTGTATTGGGATTTACATCACTATTACTAAAACATATAATTATTATATTTATAATTATTTATTTAATACTTTAAAACTTTGTAATATATATTGCACGTTCCTGTTTAGAACTTACCAAGAACACTCTGTTGTCTGCAGGAATTCCATCATAAAATCGTCTTTATTTTCATATACGATGAACATAATTTTTAGTGGACAATTTTCGATTATTATATAGAATATATTTTTTAAATGAAATAATGACATTTAATTCTAAGTATTTTTTTTTTTTTTATAACCATTAATGACCTAATTTATGGAACCAAACTATGGAACCAAATAAAATTGTTTGGCAATGTTGCAACAATTACTGCTATTAGGTTAGATTCGGGTATAGTGGATATGGTACAATCCATTTTATTCTTAAACTCCGTTCTTGACGGACTTAAAATCAGTACAAATTATTAGTCAGGCAAAATAATTCTGAAATGTTTACAGATAACTACGATCCTCCGATAAGAAAGTTTTTAGCTAGTATTCGGATTTTGTAAATAAAATACACAAATTTAAATTTTATTCCCAATTTATTTTATCTCCTTCAAAATATGCTCCTTCTAAAGCGATACACATATGCCAACGCTTAACCCAATCTTCCATACACTTTTTGTAGGCCCGTGAAAGTATGGCTTTTAGTTCCTTCAGCGAGTTCTCTTTTATCGATTCAATCGACTAAAAACGCTTACCACGAAGGGGCAATTTGAGTTTTGGGAACAGGAAAAAGTCGCACAGCGCTAGATCTGGCGAATATGGTGCCTGAGCGATGACAGTGGTGCCGTGTTTGGTCAAAAAATCGCGTACAACAAGAATTTTCCTTAGTAAAAATCGCTAAATGCACTTGAGGTAGTCTCACATTAACTGTAAACAAACTAATTGACAGATAGTGCTCAAATTTGTACCATATGTCAAGAAAGGGTGTACCAACATAGCATAAAAAAAAATTTTGAAAAAGGTTTATTGCTTAAGGAGTAGTTAACAAACAACAAAATCCGGATACTTTGTGGGCAGAAGGTATTTCTTTGAACAACTGGTTAAAAAAACTCCTTTCCAATGCCGGCATTACATTAAAAATAAAATTGTTTCATATGGTAATAACTAATATTAATAATGTTGATACTGATAGATAATGATTTCACATTATCGCCGCATTTTTATTTTTCTCCGACAAAATTATAAATGTGTGTATTCACATGTGCGGTCCTCCAACCTACCTATTCAGTGATTTGAATTGGCCCGCGATCTTATCTGGTCTGGACAGTCCTGGCCTAGACCCGACCAGATGTGAAACAAACTACTTTCTTGTTATTGGTATTATTTCAGTACCATTATAGGACACGTAGGAGGGTATTTCATTGATCATGGATTCAAGACTAGGAAAGGTAGGCTCTATACTGTCTTTAATTAAAGAAATCGGACTTGGAGAAACACTCTAACCCGAGTAAGGGGCACAATAGATCTTTTAGTTCGCAGTGCACAATCTCTTCTTTTAATAATAATAATAGAACACTTGAACTATGTGTAACTTTTCGGTTAACCTGGGTTCATATAACAAAACGAGATTAGTGTAGTTCTTTCTGGTCACTGGTGTAAACACACTCATACAAAGAAAACAAGGATATTTTAACATGCTAACTGTAGATGTGGTGAAAGTTTGCAGGAAAAAGAAACGACTAAACACTTTCTCTGTAACTACTCAGCTTCGACTTCCAAGACAAGCAGATTTTTAGAATAGTATTTTCTATTCTATTTTAAAACAAACAAATTTTTAGCATTTTCTGACAGTTTTTGAAATTATCTAAATTCAATGGGATGGATTTGGTTTTTCTCTATTTATTTGTTGAAGTTTCATGCGAGTATAGTTTCTTATTACTATCTTGCTTGTTCACCTGCCCCTGCAACCAATCAAACTTGCATCATCCATTCTCTGATGTTGCTTTTGTGATGTTTGAAACATTACTTGTCATTTATGGCTTTATCAATTATCAAATCTTTTTGTTGTGTGTTACTCTAACGTAAAAAGTTCTGTTTTGATTTATATGTATATATCTGGCACAATTCTTCAATATCTAAGATGTCATAATTTTCGAATACTGATTTTTTTGGTATTATTTTTCATTTGTTTATTTATTTTACTTAACTTATATTTGTACAATAAAAAGATAATTGCTACACTAATTTTCGATAACAAATAATATTAAATAAATCTACAAAACACATCAAATAAAGAAAGAACACTGAAATGGTATTATTTATAGCAAATAAAAGAACCAAAGACTTGCCTATTACAACCAATGAACCATCAAGAATACCGTTTTAATAATATTTGCAAAAGTAAAAGCTTAAAATTTTGTGAAAAGAATTGGGTAAATATTAGAAGAAGAAAAAAATATAAAACCGACAAATGTGCTAAATGGCAAAGTCAATATTTGGAGCAAATAGAAAAAGAAATTAGTTAAAAATTTGATAAATCTAAAAACAAAATTTACTCAAATAAACCCAAAAAAAAATTTACATGAAATACCTCTTAAAAGAAATGCGAGAATTTATTTACTTACAACTTCCAAATAGATATAATATAATGTATAATGAAAATTAATTAATTCATATAATGAAAATTAATGAAATTATTTAGTGTTGTGTATCTTATATTATTGCATGTGCAATATACAGCTTTACAGTAAATTTGAAATTGCTGGTTTGCCTACTGAAAATAACTTCAGTAATCAAAAGGAACCAAAGCCAAAACAACACCCAAGCAACCAAACATTATGATAATATTGACCAATGTCACTGTCACTCACCATAAAACAAACTGAGCCTCTTTGAAGTAGCTGCAATAGCATCAATATTGACATTAACAGTAACAGTAGCAGCCCCTCAGTCTCAGTTAAAGCCTCACCAGCAGTCACAGCATCAACAACAGTATCAGTGGCAGCATTAACTGCATTTACTTTTTTAAGTTAGCAACCGTGCAACGAACGGTGTTCATGCTATGTTGAGCATATATGGAATTTCCTACCACATGCCACAAAATTATCAAGTATTTCTCTTTATTTTAAGGTTTTTCGTTGTATCTATAAAGTTTTAACGTAAGCCAATTTTACTAATTTTCTTTCATAAAAATTTTGTACGCTTTCCACCGCTATAACTGTGCCTTAGTATAGCAAGTTCTTCTTTATCTTATGTCTCCACACTGAGCTCTACTGTTACCATTGTTGTTGTTGCTGCAGCTGTTTAATTATTGTCATCTTGTCATTTATACTGTGAGAGAAAAATAATAAAAAAAAATTAGCAAAAAGAAATTCTATACAAATTAAGTCTACAAAAAAGTTTAATGTAATTGATCTCTGAGTTTGTAGAATTTCTTTTATCCATAACTACATTTCTTCTGTAAGATCAAATGTTATTAACATTGGCTTTTTTTGAGCATACTCATTTTATACTCATTACAGTGACTGTTCATAACATTGACTCAAGTCTACATTGTGTTTATTAGTGATAATGACCTGTCTTAACTTTATCTTTTAGCGTTTTCATTCAAATATTGTATATTTAGATATAATTAGCCAATAACACACAGTTGTTTTTGTCATCATTGCTGTTTGTAGTGTTCAAATTATAAAAATAAAATAAAATAAATTTATACAATTGTTACAAAGATTTATTTTAAGCTTGGTTTTTAGATAATCTAATGATATATGATTAATTTGTAATAAATACATAAATAGGTTTATCCAATTTATGGCAATTTGCCTAGTAGTCATTTAATTATAAAACATTCATTATTGATGTCATCTAATTGCATATTCTGGAAGTCCACTTTATAACGAATAAAAGTTCCATCATTCCTGCAATATTTCTTCAAACCTACAAATCCTCTAACAAATTGACTGTCATTCTGCGATTTATCAGTAATAACCTCAAACGCTGCACTAAACTAATTAAAGTTTAAGATTTTTATTTAAATATATTGCTTCACTCTTTCCATTAGCTGTAAAATATCATATTGGTCATATATCTGTCATGTGACATTTTACAGTACAGTACGTAACCTGCACATGACGGATGTTCCTCTTAATATCGTCGAAAAATTGAGGATTGTCTTCTTAAACATAATTGTACCAAAAACATTTAGTGATGAGAAATTGCAAGATCTTGACAGCCGCATCTAAGATATTGTTCTTAAAATCAAAGCAGGACATGATGTGTGGTTTACGGCACCATCTTGTTAAAGCATTGTATATCCCAAATCCATATTATTAATTTCAAGGCGGAAAGTTATGCATCATTTCTGCGTCGAATGTGAATGCATATAAGTACTGCGTGAGAAAAACATTTATACGCATTTAGATTTGGTTTTTTATGAGTGTACTCTGAGTGTTAAAATTATGACTCGTTGCAGTTCTCTGATATACTTGCATGGCTGAACGTGAGTGTATCAATTCTTTTGAAGCAATATGAATAAATTAAACTTACGCATTAATAATTAATTTAATTTGAAAAAAATTTAATTTGAATTTAGAAATATAAAAGTCATATGCATATGTATATGGTATACAAATTGTTTTAGATTTATAAAGTAAGTGGCCTCAAACAGTACATGCTTTTATAAAAAGAAGTGATCAATTTTATTACAAATTAAAATGGAGTCTGTAATTAAATTCAGACATAAAAATATCACAACTCTGGTATAACTTAGATGTATATACTATTTTAGTGCTCTAACTGATCGCAACAATATTATGAGCTAGAATTACAGTTAGGATGCGGACATAATTTCATTTAACAACTTGGTTACTGAAAGAGAAATAATATTAAAAAGTTATAAAACAGCGTGAAATCATATAAATTGAATTTTTATCAATTAGTATCCAATATACTATTTGATATACAATATCAAAATAGTTAATGCTGTCATTAACAATATGTTCAATAGTTACGTTGTGTTTTTCATGCACATTAAATGAACAGGAAGACTCCTTATAAGATGTATTGTAAGCCTATAAAATTCATTTATAAGATTCAAAGTTAATCATCTTAAAATAGAAGCTTTTATGATGATGCATATAAATTGTGTAAATGAGTTTTGATTTTATAACACACTTTCTTTTTTATTTTCTACATGATTTCTAATTAAAATCAAGCGTTAATCATGTGTAGTCAAA